TTTTTGCAACAAACAACTTTAATCTGCTTAATTTATCCACGCACCCGCACAGACACGACTACCCCTCCCGTTTGGAAAATGTCCAGCACAGCATCAATAGCAAGCAGCTGTACATTAACATTTTCTCTGAAGCTGATGTGATTCTGCACTTTCGTTTAGCTGTGGCTTATCTCTCCGCAGTTTTTTGAAACGGGAGTTTTGCTCCTCGCGGATCCATCCTCTCGAGCGCACTATCCCCGCTCTCTCTCGCTCTCTCGCGCAAAGAGCAATTTTATGAATGAATAAATAAATAAATACCCGCCAGGTATCGTCTATGTGTGGGAAACACTGGGTGGTAACAGCCACGCTCATCAGGGTATTTCTGACATTAGAAATTCTACAGACTGCTGCAACTTTTCTGACACAATCCTCTTTCCATAGCCTACCTGTCACTCTTTTGTCATGCCTCTGATAAGTTTTAAGGTGAAGGGCAGGGATCCCCAACACCTTGCTGATTTTTCTGAGAGCCGCATATCCCAGACCTAACTCATGTGCCAAGAGGACCATTCGCACATTCACATCAAACGCGACATCCTTCCTGGACTCATCTTGAAGTTGCATAGATGTGTACACGCTCCTGCGGCACTCGAGCAATAAACTGCTACAGAACCCATGATTCTGTGGATCTATATTTATTTTCAGCCCTGACCCGGCACAACTCGGGACAAATTAAATCACAAAGCAGCTCATTTAATCAGGCAACATGAACAAGCAGCCACTGCTGTGTGGCATTCACTTCCCTTTTATCTATTTCTAAATCACTCCCCCGGTTTGCCATCGACAGCTTACGTTCAGAAGCGCTTCCTGAGGGCATTTCACGGGGTAACGCATCACAAACTTTTCCTTTTACATCCCCTTGCAAGTGACAACTGTTGTTTTCTTTTCACTGATTTACCGAAAGACATTTTCATTCATTCCTCAAAGGTCCCGTGGAAAGATAAACAAGGAAGTGTCAAAGCATACCACGTGATGCGTCTGAACGAATCACGTTATCAGAAACCAAACACAAGCCAATGACATTACATTCTTAGCATTAAACCCTCCTCTGAACTTTCACGATTGGTTGCTGGTAGAAAGGAAGTGTCCTTATTTGGGTTACATAGCGTTGTGCAGGAGAGAGAGAGCTTTACAGAGATATCAGTCATGACGGGCAGCAGAGAACAGCCGCTATACTGCACATCACATTAGAATGATAACTTTCGGGCAAATTGACGAAGAATCTAACGCCGCGATCAGACAAAATGTATTAAAATATACACATAAATGTATAATTTGGATATTTTCTTTATGGTAGTTTGAAACATTACATGTTCAGGGAGTGATCTTGCCCAAAATCTCAAAATTGACCAGTGCATAAAAAATGGATGTTTTAGCCTGCCGTGTCTCGCCTTAAATCTCTTGATCTACCAAGTATTGGAGATTCACAGAATAAGAATCTCACAGCTCCTGTAACACCTGATGAAGTTTATAAAGCCATATCCAGACTTAAGGCTAATAGTTCCCCTGGAAGCAACGGTTCCAGGGGGCAAAATGAATTAATATACAAGGACAGAAACATATCATGAGCTTATTTTGGGATGATGTTATAATATATCTTGAGAGCCCTAATACAAGCTTTAACCACCTGTTGCATTTTATAGACACGTATGGTAGTCACTCAGGTTATAAAATAAATGTTAATAAAACACAGATTTAACTATATCCCCTCTCCAGAAATTAAAAGAATTCCCCATCTGAAATGGGACTGGACAACTATAAAATACCTGGGTGTAACTTTAACAAAACAACTCACCCATCTCTATAAAATAAAGTATGATCAGATTCACACTCAGATTAGAAGAGACATTGAAAGGTGGTCAACCTTGACATTGGACTTCAGCTCAAGGTTGAAGTTATAAAAATGAACATTTTGCCCAGGCTGCTGTATTTTATTCAGTCTCTACCTATTAAGATCCCTGAAGAGAAATTTAAACTCTGGGATAAGATGATCTCTAGACATTAAAAAAAACAATAAAATATTGCACATTACAAATGGACAAGGATAAAGGCGGTATGGCACTCCCAAATTTAAAAGAGTATTATCATGCAGCGCAACTCAGACCAATTATCAAATGGTGTGATAAAGAATACAAAGCAAAGTGGAAAGATATTGAGGTGACTGTAGCATCCCAATCGAGTCCTTATTAGGTAACTAAACAAGTTAAAGTACTGCAAGATTCTTTAGACCCTCTACGACTCCACTCACTGAATATCTATTATTTTTTATTCCTGTTTTATGTGTATTTTATTTATTTCTTGTCTAATTGTACAACTTGATGTAAAAACAATTCTGAAACATGCATAATACCTTTGTATGTACCAACAAAATAAAATAAAAATGTAAGTGAAAAAAAACAAAAAACATTTCTGCTTGGTGTTATAAAGTTTAAGAAAGAATACATACGTTCATAAATTCTTATCTGTGATTAGCTTGTTGATATTTTTTTGTGAAACAACACTTGTGTAAATAAAATGATATTTATGTTGAAAAAAATCTGATAATTGGTCAAATATAAGAGTCACACATTTCCCACAGCTCCTAAAATGGTTCTTTAACACTTTCTCTGAAATGCAACAAATATTTGTTCTATGGGGTGACATTCAATGATTTACATAGAAATAGCCTATTATCTTATCTTAATCATTTTAGCATTTTTTTTGAGTTTGTGTTACTCTTAGCTTTCCTGTCAATCACCGTAAGTAAGACATACTTTATTTAGGTCTAGGAATAATCTGTAGTTTTGTAGTTTATTAACTGCTTTAAACTTACATTTTCAACCAACAGTTGTCAGACCAAACACAACAAAACTGAACTCTTCAATGGTTGCTCGAATAACGTTTAAATACTTAAATGTTTTTAGGAAAAAAAGCAACCAATGAGACCATCGTGGGCTCCACATAATGAGCCTCAGAAAAATACCATAATGATTTCCTGTTCCTATACAGCCTAATTTTTTACTCATTAACAAAAAACAGAACAAAAATATTATTGTCTTTAACTAAAATACTAAATTATCCCAAAAGGTATTTATTAATAGTTTAATGGCCTTTTAATTTAATCAATTAAACATGTTGCTCCACATAGAGCCTCAGAAATGTTTAACTTTAAATAACTTTTTACTCTTAAACAATTTAACGGAATATGATGATAGGAAAATTAATGAAATGGGGCACTTTGAACTATTTTCTCAGCAGGGAGTAACGTAAAAAAGACGAGTTGAGCGCAGGAGCTGGTCCTGCATTACGTTAATCAGCAATCAGGCTGAACAGAAAGAGAGGTGACACAAAATCGTTTTTTAAGAGAGATCGAAGGAGCAGTATTTCTTTAGTTTGATTTGCTCACAAGTTGCCAGAATTTGATCAAAGCTACGGGACTTAAACACAGGCATCCTGACGGTCTTCAGCTCTGTCCACACTTCTTACCAGTTTCTCCTGTCTTGACTGATGGAAAACAAAAGTTTGACTGATAATAACAACCACAAAGAGCAGCTCATCCAGATTAAAAACACTCCTCTCCGTCATGCGTAAACGGCCCACACATCCAGAACTCGGTGTAGGTTGCGAACACCAGCGTTGAGCCTGATGCATCTCCCGACTTATTTTACCTCAGATTATGGTAAAAACAGTCATATTAAAAGTCGTTTAACTGAGTTTATTGAGTTGAAAAAGTGGAATTCAACCCGGAGCTGATCAGACTGCAGTGCGCAACGCTGAAGCGCACGTCTGTTCGTTTGGAAACATTTGATCATTTTATAATGCCTAATACTAAAATACCCGAAGATGACTGTTTGCATCAAAGACACTCTGTGTGTTTGTGACAACATATTCATATGAGCAGGTTTTTATCTGTGATGAAGCTTAACGAGTGTAAACTGTGCTGTAGCCTGACACACACACACACACACACACACACACACACACACACACACACACACGTAAAGACTCTCTCTCTCCCTCTCTCTCTTCACTTACTACTACTCAGTATTATTAATGCACTGATCACAGGGCAGGTAGAATAACTCCCGTGTCAAGGTATCTAACCTAGAACAGCAATAATACAAAATATAGTACAGTTTGCAATGACAGAGATTTTGTGTTTTAAATCTAATACCAAAAAAAATCTAATTTGAAATAGAGCTTTTTATCATTTGATGCAAGGATAGCATAATAATTTATGCCTGACCTGTTTTGTTGCTGTTCACATAAAGTCCTCGATACAAGAAGCTTATTTAGATTTTAAAATAATAATACAGCAGCCCATATAGACTACATGATTAGTGTTATAGTGAGTCCAGCCCACTGGAGGTCTCACTGGAACAAATCCGTCCCCGACCCAATATGAGTTTGACTCCATGATGGAAAAATGCTGCTGACAGTTACACCACGAAGTAGGATTTTTAAGTTTGGCTAAAACATGTAGGCTACATAATAACACAACACTTTTAATATCAATGTAATATCATTGATACAAATCTCGAAGATATATTTATAAATACGTTTATTTATAGAAATTAGTTTATTTGTTTGTCACGTTTTTATATTTGTATATTTATAAATGCATGCATATTTATACATATCATTTCGATATGCATAAATCTTTTTGAGACATTTCTAGCTCCATAGCAAACAGACAGAACACAGTAAAGGCTTTAAGTGCAGACTGATTCAACCTTTTGTAAGAGAGGCAGGTTCAGAATAATGATTTAATACATTCTCTTGTATTAACTACTCTGGACACGATAAGTAATGTTCATCAGAAATGATTTATAGTTTAGGGAGGTAGGAGTTCAGGTCCCAGTTAAGGCCCCTCTCTGTCCCACTGTTTCCACCAAGCCAGAGGCAGATGGATGAACATGAAGAACAAGGCTCAATGAACGATAACAGTTATATCACTCTACAACAGAAAGAAAAAAAGCAGCACACACTGTCTTTGTTTAATTTATTTATACATCATCTTCAACACATTTGGCCCACAATAATATAAAATAATATAAAAATCTATTAAAGAGTCTTTTCACAGCTCTGTACAATGAGAGTTGTGGGTAAAGACGCTTCTCTTCCTCCAATGACATCACAGTCAATGACGGGCCAGTGTTCGTCATCACCATCTGTTTACTGTTTGCTCTTCTATGGCACAGTCGGCTGCATGGTTTCAGTCAATGACTGACCCCCCCTACTTTCAGGGGGTCCTGTAGTGGCTGAAACCAAAAAGATATATAACCAATAATGAATCAACAAGCCACCGGGCCTCTGGATCACTTCAGGAAAAACCAGGTCACCACCTGACCGGACCTCAAGAGTCAGAGAGCGAGAGTTGGATTCTTTACTAACTGCTAGCAGAGAGACAATCGGTGCTTGGTGGTTTTCTGAAGTGAGATGAGAAGACGTTCTGCTCCATCCTTGCTTGGTTTCAGTGCTGTTTGTGAAAGCGTGTTACGACTCGTCCTGTTGGAATACGATGGGGTATATTTGGCTGTAGTGATCCACAAAGTGGACCTCTATGCCCCGGGTGATGTAGTCTGGTAGGTCGGAGAAGTCCTTCTTGTTTTCAGCTGGTAGGACGATGCAGGTCACACCGGCCCGACGAGCCTATGGGAGAAGAAGAAGAAAATGTAGTTTAAATACTGGACAAGTCAGACTTTGATTTACTGTAGTCTATGAGACGACCCGGCCTTTAATCGGGACAGGAGTCATCATGAGACGGCCCTTTGATATTTTTAAACATGTTTTCAACCCGTGCACTACGACGGAGGATTAGGGCCACGTTAAAGAAAAAAACCCCTAATAATTCAAGATTAAACTTGTTAATTTATGAGAATAAAGCCGTAAATTTAGATTTATTTTTTTTCTTTAACGTGGCCCTAATCCTCCGTCGTAGTGCACAGCAAATATGGAAAGACTAAACAACTTTAACTCTACACCAGAAAGAATATGGATAAACAAATGGAGTTAAAATGACTGATTTCATTTTGCTCTTTAAGGCGAGACACTACAGGTGAATAGGGTAAAAAAAAAAATTAATAATAGATATCACCATGAAACTCTCTCAGTTGATTACTTAAAAATGTATTGCAAGCTTTTTGTATTTTAATGTATAAATATGAAATAATTTATTATTATTATTTGAAAAAAATAAAATCTGATCATATTAGATGGAAAACAAGATACAGAGGGATTTATGGATATATACAGTGGGTACGGAAAGTATTCAGACCCCTTTACATTTTTCACTCTTTGTTTCATTGCAGCCATTTGCTAAAATCAAAAAAGTTCATTTTATTTCTCATTAATGTACACTCAGCACCCCATCTTGACAGAAAAAAAACAGAAATGTAGAAATTTTTGCAAATTTATTAAAAAAGAAAAACTGAAATATCACATGGTCATAAGTATTCAGACCCTTTGCTCAGTATTGAGTAGAAGCACCCTTTTGAGCTAGTACAGCCATGAGTCTTCTTGGGAATGATGCAACAAGTTTTTCACACCTGGATTTGGGGATCCTCTGCCATTCTTCCTTGCAGATCCTCTCCAGTTCTGTCAGGTTGGATGATGAACGTTGGTGGACAGCCATTTTCAGGTCTCTCCAGAGATGCTCAATTGGGTTTAGGTCAGGGCTCTGGCTGGGCCAGTCAAGAATGGTCACAGAGTTGTTCCGAAGCCACTCCTTTGTTATTTTAGCTGTGTGCTTAGGGTCATTGTCTTGTTGGAAGGTGAACCTTCGGCCCAGTCTGAGGTCCTGAGCACTCTGGAAGAGGTTTTCTTCCAGGATATCTCTGTACTTGTACTTCATCTTTCCTTTAATTGCAACCAGTCGTCCTGTCCCTGCAGCTGAAAAACACCCCCCATAGCATGATGCTGCCACCACCAAGTTTCACTGTTGGGATTGTATTGGGCAGGTGATGAGCAGTGCCTGGTTTTCTCCACACATACCGCTTAGAATTAAAGCCAAAAAGTTCAATCTTGGTCTCATCAGACCAGAGAATCTTCTTTCTCATAGTCTGGGAGTCCTTCATGTGTTTTTTGGCAAACTATGCAGGCTTTCATATGTCTTGCACTGAGGAGAGGCTTCCGTCGGGCCACTCTGCCATAAAGCCCCGACTGGTGGAGGGCTGCAGTGATAGTTGACTTTGTGGAACTTTCTCCCATCTCCCTACTGCATCTCTGGAGCTCAGCCACAGTGATCTTTGGGTTCTTCTTTACCTCTCTCACCAAGGCTCTTCTCCCACGATTGCTCAGTTTGGCTGGATGGCCAGGTCTAGGAAGAGTTCTGGTCGTCCCAAACTTCTTCCATTTAAGGATTATGGAGGCCACTGTGCTCTTAGGAACCTTGAGTGCTGCAGAAATTCTTTTGTAACCTTGGCCAGATCTGTGCCTTGCCACAATTCTGTCTCTGAGCTTTCTTGGGCAGTTCCTTCGACCTCATGATTCTCATTTGCTCTGACATGCACTGTGAGCTGTAAGGTCTTATATAGACAGGTGTGTGCCTTTCCTAATCAAGTCCAATCAGTTTAATTAAACACAGCTGGACTCCAATGAAGGAGCAGAACCATCTCAAGGAGGATCAGAAGAAATGGACAGCATGTGAGTTAAATATGAGTGTCACAGCAAAGGGTCTGAATACTTATGACCATGTGATATTTCAGTTTTTCTTTTTTAATAAATTTGCAAAAATTTCTACATTTCTGTTTTTTTTCTGTCAAGATGGGGTGCTGAGTGTACATTAATGAGAAATAAAATGAACTTTTTTGATTTTAGCAAATGGCTGCAATGAAACAAAGAGTAAAAAATGTAAAGGGGTCTGAATACTTTCCGTACCCACTGTACTTTTGTTATCCTATGCCATGTTTTTTGGAATAAAATGTTATATAAATCAGGCTACGAGTAATATATTAACAAATCCTTCTGTAAAAGTCTTCATAATGTAGCTAGGTTCAAGACTGGAAAGCTTGGTGTGTATAGGTGCAACTGAAGTGGAGATTTCGGACTTTGAGTATGATAGAAAACTTATTTTGAGAAAATGGCATTTAAAGATTTATATTGTAAAATTCCACACATTTCTAAAGGAAAGCATTGCTAACAAGCAAAACAACTTCTCAGTTCATTGGTTATAACAATGTAGACCATGTCTAGAACATGGACATTAACAATTGAATACAACAACATTACCATATAAGACCTTCAACTGTAGACAACCACAGAAAACCAAACAAATTTGCCACCAGAACTGCAAATCTAGCCCGCTGTATGTCAGAACAAAACATTTCCACGCAGAACACAAAGTTCACCCATGGGTTTTTACAGGCTAGATGTCCATGCCTGCACCATATGTAGGCCCCTCACCCCTCACTTTTTTAGCTGTGCTCTGATTCTTTCTGCGATGTTTTGCAGACTCAGACTGGATGGTGTCAGCTTTTGTGATCCTGAGCATGTCGGTTTCTCTGATGGTGGTGATGGTGATGATAGTGCTTTCAAGCCATAGCTTATCCATAACTGCAAGCATGGAAGAGGCCCCCTCATTAAAAGTTGTAATGGCCATACTTGCTGCTGCCTCAACCCTACTCTTCCCAACAAACACAGTTTTCGGACAGCGTGCCCATATCACAGAGTTGAGGCACTCATTAGCATTTTGAGTGCCACCATGTTGCATGCGCTGCAGCAGGCTGTCACTAGACATGCGGTGGTACACAGGGAGAAGCTTCTGGCCCACTCCTGAGATAAAAAGTTCCCTACATGGAGCCTGTGGCTCTCTGGAGTTTCTCCATTTTCCTCCGCTCTCCTGTACCAGCACCAGGACGGGTTGCACCTGGTGTGCAAGGGTACATCGTCACAGGACATGCTGTGGAGGAGACCAGCCCATATTTCATTCTTCATCCTGTCTAGGGAACCCTGGTTATTTAAAATTGCCCCCCTGTAATGATTTTGTAATGTTTTACATTTACTGGCCGTTAATTTTCCCAGACCCTTCCCCCCCAATTTGCGTTCAGCACTTAATTTGCGAAGGGCTGTTCCCATGCGCTTATGGGCATGGTTAATGCATTCTAACTTCACTACCTCATGCTCAGGGTATGGGTTGAGGGATACCACCTCCTTGAATGCAGCACTGTCCCCATCTGACAGCATCTGAGTGTATCTAAGCTGGTGACGACTCACAGACCTGGCCCACATCCTCTTCGCTGCCTCCTGCTCCATAGCCTTGCTTGAACCACAAAAGTTTCTTGCACAGTCGTGCTTTTCTCTCCAGATGTCAATCTTCTCCTCTGTAATCTTTCCCTCATGCCTGGCAGCTTCTTTAAGGGCACAAACGTGACAATAGGAGGATAGGACCTCAAAGTCGATCACCAGTCCCGTAAATATGTCAATGCACACCCCGATCCCATAGTGTGACGTGAACCCTCTTTTCTGCAATCAAAAAACACACTGATGTTAATCACAGCATCTGCATCCTCCCTCAGCAACTCTGCCACATCTGCATCAACATCTGCATAGGCCTGCCTGACCTGCTCCCTGGTCCTGTGTAGTGACTCCAGACCTCTCTCAATTTCCGCAACTAAAATGAAATGTGCATTGTATCAATAACTGTTCATTTGGTTTGGTTTTATTGATACAGCAGTGTTTCCCACAGAATGATGCGATACCAGGGCGGTGGAGTACGTGCTGGGGGGCGGGGGGATCAGAGAGAGAGAGAGAGAGAGAGAGAGAGAGATATATATATATATTTTTTTTTTTTTAACTCATATCTCAGGATATATTTTAATATTAGGTTTGTATTCTCTCTCACGCAAAGAGCAATTTTATGAATGAATAAATAAATAAATACCCGCCAGGTATCGTCTATGTGTGGGAAACACTGGGTGGTAACAGCCACGCTCATCAGGGTATTTCTGACATTAGAAATTCTACAGACTGCTGCAACTTTTCTGACACAATCCTCTTTCCATAGCCTACCTGTCACTCTTTTGTCATGCCTCTGATAAGTTTTAAGGTGAAGGGCAGGGATCCCCAACACCTTGCTGATTTTTCTGAGAGCCGCATATCCCAGACCTAACTCATGTGCCAAGAGGACTGTTAGTACGAATTTTCATGAAATTCATTAATCTTGTAACTTCGTGAAATGTATTATTCAAGTCTGCCTACCACCTGTTAACACTCCTACCTTTAGGTGTCTGAAGCTGTAACCTTATATGGGTGAAGCACCTAAGTAGTAGCAGATCTATGTTTGGATAGGAGCCAACCATATGTTGTCAGCAACTGTTTGCTAGACAGAGAGTCTACAGCTGTTACGTATACAAATCAGTGTCATGTCATCTTTATTGTTTTATGGTGATGCACCCAAATAGAAAGGAATTTGTGGGTTGCACCTTTTTGACAGAATATAAGCAGCACTGTGAACACTGTTACTTTGTCAGCACTTTGTCAGTCAAGTGATTTGGAAGCGTGCTTGTTTGATGAGGTTGTCTGACCTCGGCCGATTAAATGGTGTTATAATCTCCAGTCTGTTTCACGATTTCTTCATTGGATTTATACAAACAGAAACAACCCCCACCTAACAAGGACCATTCGCACATTCACATCAAACGCGACATCCTTCCTGGACTCATCTTGAAGTTGCATAGATGTGTACACGCTCCTGCGGCACTCGAGCAATAAACTGCTACAGAACCCATGATTCTGTGGATCTATATTTATTTTCAGCCCTGACCCGGCACAACTCGGACAAATTAAATCACAAAGCAGCTCATTTAATCAGGCAACATGAACAAGCAGCCACTGCTGTGTGGCATTCACTTCCCTTTTATCTATTTCTAAATCACTCCCCTGGTTTGCCATCGACAGCTTACGTTCAGAAGCGCTTCCTGAGGGCATTTCACGGGGTAACGCATCACAAACTTTTCCTTTTACATCCCCTTGCAAGTGACAACTGTTGTTTTCTTTTCACTGATTTACCGAAAGACATTTTCATTCATTCCTCAAAGGTCCTGCGGAAAGCTAAACAAGGAAGTGTCAAAGCATACCACGTGATGCGTCTGAACGAATCACGTTATCAGAAACCAAACACAAGCCAATGACATTACATTCTTAGCATTAAACCCTCCTCTGAACTTTCACGATTGGTTGCTGGTAGAAAGGAAGTGTCCTTATTTGGGTTACATAGCGTTGTGCAGGAGAGAGAGAGCTTTACAGAGATATCAGTCATGACGGGCAGCAGAGAACAGCCGCTATACTGCACATCACATTAGAATGATAACTTTCGGGCAAATTGACGAAGAATCTAACGCCGCGATCAGACAAAATGTATTAAAATATACACATAAATGTATAATTTGGATATTTTCTTTATGGTAGTTTGAAACATTACATGTTCAGGGAGTGATCTAGCCCAAAATCTCAAAATTGACCAGTGCATAAAAAAATGCATGTTTTAAGACATCGATCCAACCTGCTGCACGGCTGGAACACATACCAGCATCAGGATGTTTAAATACTCTAACTAACCAACACTAAATGCACAGGGGCCTCTTATTGAACTGGGGAAGGGGGCTTTTATTTGGAGTTTTACAGTTAAGGCCACCCTGAGCAAAGCTTTGCTGGTTAATAAGTGGAGTGGAGAGACTACGATAAAAGCATGTAAAGGCTGGCTAACAGCATGGCCTCTGACCCTGACCACGCTCTGAACACCAATATGAACTATGACCATCAAACCGGAGATACAGGGTCCCACATTTTAATAAGGTCACACTGAAACACTTTTTGTTCACTTTTCTTCACACTAGCAAAGTTTGTTCTGCTTGAGTCAGGACGTTTCTGGGCGTTTCAGCCAATGAGAGCGCAGCAGGTGAGTTTAGGAGTGGATAAAAAATATAATCAGAGTGAGGAGAAACACCAAGTGGATAAAGCTCGTTCTAAAACGAGGGTTGTGTTGTCTTTTACCCGTGGACGTAGTGGCCCAGTTTGAATGTTAACAAACATTTCTACTGACTCCTCCTTTAAGGTCAAAGAAATGTCTTCATATCTCAGAACTGTTCATATCTATGTGTGAGTGTCTTGTACTTACAGCAATAGTTTTCTCTTTTATTCCACCTACTGGCAGGATCTTGCCGGTCAAAGACACTTCCCCAGTCATGGCTACATTTTGACGCACTGGCTTGTTGGTTGCCAGGGACAACAGGGCTGTAACAATTGTGCACCCAGCACTTGGTCCGTCCTTCGGAGTTGCCCCCTAGAAACAAGTGAGAGTTATAGACAAACGATAGGAACACTTACTGCCCCCAACAAAAGAGTGAAAAGACTTTTATGTTACCAGACAGGGATATTTAAAATCTACAGGTACCAGATTTAAGCACCTTCATTTAAAAGATTCAACATGATACATTTCTAAACTATCTTAAGTATGCTGAAGAATAAGTAAATCCTGAAAGATAAAAAAAAGTGATTGTAGATTGTAAATTATTAAAAATTAAATAAATTACAGTATTACATCATCGTGGTTACCTCAGGAACATGCAGGTGCAGGTGGGAGTTGACCAGGAAGTGATTTTCTGGTTCCTTGCCCATTAGGAAGGCTCGGGCGTAGGTTGAAGCGATCTTTGCACTTTCCTTCATAACATCCCCGAGCTGACCTGCAGAGGGTAAAATTAAAAGCTTCAGCATGTTCTCTAATCGGTCTGTGGTGAAGATACCAGGTGCTTCACAGCGTTGGATTATCCTTCTCCTGCAGAGTTTGTCTTGTTGAGGACCTCCTGACTCACCTGTGACCTCCAGTGACCCCTCTCCTTTAGAGTCCGCTCCTCCAGTGGGACGACGCAGCGACGTCTCCATGAACAGCGTAGTCCCTCCTAAAAGGACGACAAAACACAGAAAGTCCTTCAGTTTGTCCAGCTTTGTATCAGTGCTGGGTCGGTCGGTGCGTCTCTGTGTGTAAATATCTCTCACCAAGAGCAGTCCATGCCAGGCCCATCACCACTCCGGGCGGGGTGACGGTGTACATTCTGTCCACTGTGAAAACAGGTTTACCCACAAAGTCCTGCAGGTTGTCAGGTGTGACAGTCACTGTGTTCTGTTCACCGCTGACGATACTGAACGCCACTTTGCGGAAAACCTGACAGACGGATGGAAAAAGGATTACACAAGTTAACAATGAGATGAAGTGCTACTCTCTGATGTCGCTATTTAGATGAGTCCAGAGACCAAAAATCCATCTGAGAGTCACTGCCATCCAAATGAATACCCATGACTTTGAGAAGGTCGGATTTCTTGTACCAGGCCGTGAAATCCTCCCACTTAAATATTCTGTTGATTGAGACCAGAGTGTGTTCTGAGTGGCCCTGGTGCACCTGTAGTTTAGGAAGATCAGATGTTGACGGTGTTTTACCTTTTCAACTTGTTTCTGCAGGTTCCTGACTCCAGACTCTCTGCAGTACTGCCTGATGAGCAGGCCGAGGGCATCTGATGAGATAGAGGCCTTCTCCTCAGTCAGACCACACTGAGAGCGGAGCTGAGGGACCAGATAGCGCTGCACACACACACACACACGCACACGCACACGCACACGCACACGCACACACGCACACCCGATGCTTTAGCTGTGAGAAAACTTTTATAAAATATACAATCATTAGACTTTGTAAAAAAAATGTACACGGCAAACATTTCATTTATTATAACCCCTTTTTCGTAGGGTACCCTTTATTTGACATATAATAATAATAATAATAATAATAATATGTCAAATAACAATATTCGTAGTCGTACACTGTGTCCTATCAGCACGCGATATCACATCGTGCACGATCACACGCCACGTCCACACAAATATTTCATTCTCTGCTCTGTGAATTTCAGTTTCCCTCACAAACAGTTTCACATCTAGTGCTTTTATTTTGAAGGTGGACTAACAGAAGTGTGGTGCATTTATTTTGAAGGTGGACTAACAGAAGTGTGGAGCATTTATTTTGAAGGTGGACTAACAGAAGTGTGGTGCTTATTAAGAGTAATAATCTTAACGGATGAATCCTTATGATAAGTGTTGGATACTCTTTAGCAAGAAAATGAGGAATAAACAGTGAGCAAACATCAATGTATAAATCTGTGGATCCACAGTGTTCACATTTCTTTCTCCACACAGTGTCATCAGAAGAAGCCGGTGTTACCTCAGCGATGGCCAGCTTCTCCTGGGCCACGTATCCTGACACATTGATCATCTCCATCCGGTCTCTGAGCGGCTCTGGGATGGTGTCCAGCACATTAGCCGTGCAGATAAACAAAACCTTTGTTGGGGAGGTCACAGATAGGAAAGGTTTAGAGAGAGAGAGAGAGAGAGAGAGAGAGAGAGAGAGAGAGAGAGAGAGAGAGAGAGAGAGAGAGATAGTGATAGTAAGTGTACCTTTGGACTGCAGATAAAAAGTTTCTTACCTTTGACAGATCTACGGGAACATCAAGGTAGTGGTCAAGAAAGTTGGCGTTCTGTTCAGGATCCAGAAGCTCCAGCAAGGCGGAGGACGGGTCACCCTGGTAACCACGACCGATCTTATCCACCTGGTCATAAAAGGTAGGAGAAAGACTTGTCATCACCATATACCCTTTCATCTACAAACAACATTTACTAAAAAAAGTTAAAATGTGAATATAAACAGAATATGAAGATTTGAAAAACATTCAACTGAAAACAACAAATCAAATGTTTCAACTGAAGAACACATTTTGAATTTGATGCCAGCAGCACTTTTCAGAGAGTTGGGACGTGTCATCACTCTAATCCACCACTTTGAGTTTGGGAACTGAGGAGTCAGATTTTCAACACTTCATAGTCTCCTTTGTCTTTTTTTTTTTTCCACTTTATAATAACAGGTAACGATTCTCTAAACTCACGATCGTTTCAGGATACGATTCTCTCACGATTTATTTAACAAAATGAGACTGTAGACAAATAATGACTGTCCTTTAGGAGCTGCTAACCCACTTGTCACTGTGGTTTGACCTTTTAATGTTTATTTTCTCTCAACAAGGGGAGGTGATTTGAGCTTCTCGTTGTGGTGTAGATTAAATGCTGCATCATGTTGGTTGTTCTGTTTGTGTAGTTCCCTGTCTTCTTGTAATATCTGCACACAGTTTTTGTCTCGTCTGTTATCTTCTCACCTCTTTCATTTTCTGTCTTGTTGCAGCCAAAATGTTTCCACACCTCTGATTTAAAAGACGGTGGTGCGTCCTAAGTTTATAAATCTAGCTCTACAGCTGCTGACGCTCACCATGTTACTGCGATTCATTTTTCAGAGTACCGATGTGAATCTAACTCCTCAGACAGATATGTCTGAACTCTTTGCACGGCAGTTTCAGCTGAATGCAGTAACAGACTGTTTGTAGTGTTCCTGACTCCATGTATTTCACTGAATGGTTACCCCCCCCCACACACATTACTGACCTCGTCTATGAGCACCAGAGGATTTTCGGTCTTGGTTTTCTTCAGGCACTGGATGATCTTCCCCGGCATTGCTCCCACATAAGTTCTCCTAAAACACACCATCACACACAGTTTAGACAAAGACCACCATGTGTCCATGAGATAAAGCTAGCTGTGAAGATATACTGATGTCTGATGAGGAAATGTGATAACACTAAGAACATGAGTCTTTATAATATCTGGTAATACAGAGGCCTTACAGAGGACTTTGATGAAACCTGGTCCTGCTCTCTTTCTCTGATCTGCAGTTAGTTGAGCTGTTCGTAAAAGTAGTGTCTCCTACACGTGCTAGTCAATGAGCAGAAATCTGATGTCTCGCTCAGTGGTGATTTTGGAGTCTGTTGGGGCCTAAAGCTAAAAATCCCCAGGGGCCCCTCCAAACAGTGTCCATCCCCATTATGTTATAAATAATCTGACACCAGGACCATATGTTATTAAAATGTCTCTCGTCCACATTTAGTGCTAAACAAGCATCATTTAGTCACCTACAATTATACAAGTGAGTACTATGATGATACTAAGATGGGGCCACTTTAGGGAGGTCTCCTAATGTCATTGAAAAAGTTGCACATTTTGAGCCCCTACTGTGGTTTTAAGTCTATCATCCCTTTGGAGCCCCCCACCAAAAAGTAGCCTGCCTTGCCCTATGAGAAGCAGCGCCTCTGGTTACTCAGTCTATTCAACAAAAATGAAATAAGATGGTTACATCCGTGCATTGTCTATACCACGTGTCCCACTGGGTGGGCGTGGGGACTGGAGCTGATCCCAGCTGTCAATCAAATTGTAAATGATTTTGCATGAACTGTATTTTTTTGCATGTGGATCATTATTAAATTCATCAGACAGAATAATCTGGCCTGACTCTTTAATGTGAACCTCCACATAGGGCACAGTCTCTCCTCATCCAGCCTTTCAGAAATGATTTTCCAAACCCTTCAATGAAAAGCAGAGACTTGAATCTTTGCGCCCTCCTGATAAGTTAAACATGTTTCAGTAAAGGCTGTATAGACTCCCTGACCTGTGTCCTTTAATCTCAGCTACGTCAGTCATTCCTCCCACGCTGAACCTGAAGTACTGTCTGTTCAGGGCTCTGGCTATGGAGCGGGCGATGGAGGTCTTCCCCACCCCCGGGGGGCCGTAGAAACACAGGATCTTCCCCTGAGTGGAACCACGCAGCTGACTCACAGCAATGAACTCCTGCACAAAGACACAAAGGGAGTCAGCAGCAGATTGATGCATTTTCAAACTGCATATTGATTTTTTTTTTTTTTTGCATCGACGTGTCTAAACATTATCATATCAACATATTAAACATATCATTTCATTTCCTGGCTCATGTAAGCTGTTCAATTACTGACCAATATGCGTTTCTTCACATCATCCATTCCGTAGTGATCTTCTTCTAAAACCTCTTTGGCTGTGTCCAACAACAAGTTCTCCTCACTGTTGGTGCCCCAGGGCATGCTGGTCAGCCAGTCCAGGTAGTTACGGGTCACACTGAAAAACAGATAGTGGAGTTGTGTTCAGTATCCTTTTTAGTATCCTGTGTATCTTTCAACAAAAGAGATTACAGTTAAAGCTCCCCTGAGAAGAGTTTCCTCTCATGTTCTCTTAAGTAGTCAATGTTTCTCACCACACACTGATACATTTCATTACTCAAAAAACATTTGCATAGCCACTTTCTCTTTTTAAATTTTGCTGGCAAACTGTCTCAGGGCTCGACATTATAACATTATAACAGCTGATTGCACGTTCAGCTGACCCGCTCGGGCCAGTTAAAATACTGCCTGAAAAAAAATAGACTGTAACACGTTCTCAATTTCATACCAGTGTTTTGTCAGTAATTATTTTAAAACGTTGCACTAATGACTGCTACAGCATCAATGTATCATAAGCGCTCGTGCACGCTTGTGTGTCACAGTTGAAAGGCAGCTGACGGCCTCACTGCTGTCCCTCCCGCGATCGCGCTCGCTACACTTGAATTGTAAACTTGTACACATATCTTAGCGCAGGTTTTATCTACTAAAAAACATGTTTGCTAAAACGGTTTAAAAACCATCAGATCCCGACAAAAGCCGATCTTAAATCAGCATTCAAAGGAAAAAAATCAGGGCATGACGAAAACAGAACAAAGGAAAGTTTGATCCACAGTGACAGACAGCTGGAGGAGCTGGAACACATTACAGTTAAAGACTAGATCATGGTAAAGATAAAAGTTATTCACAAAACATCTTAGCCCTTAAGAGAGCTCCGAAAGTAAAGATCTAAGGATGAAGAGTTTCTCACAGAGAAGAAAGAAGGAGAGATTCCAGCTCTATCACAGCCTCATATTAATATCAGATTAAGTAGACTCTTACAGCAGCAGTTACCAGCATGGTGAATAAACAGGAGCACATAAATATAAGAAAAATACACAATATTTTTATAATTAGAGTTCAATTAATTAAATAAAGGGCCAGTGATCTTTGATCAGAGGGCCCAGAGGGCGACTGGCAAATTTAACTTAATGTCAACCCCTGCTGTCTTCTTTACTTCCTGTTGCTGAACCACTGAACAGTCAGAAACTGTAGTTGGTTTACTGACGCTCCCCCTCAAATTAAAAACGTTTTTCTGATTCTGAATCTTAATCAGGTCGTCTGTGAATTAACACAAGTATACACACGTGTCTTTGTTAACTTTAAAGACAGAGTCAGCAGATTGTTCCTTCAAAATAAAAGACAGACTTCTCCTAAAGTAAAGACAGAGACCCTTTCCGAATTGCCACAGTTCAGTAGTCTTTTCAGTATGGAGTTTCAGTATACTGAACTTTCGTGGTCATTCAGTATGCATTCTTTGGGTCCACCTCAGTATACTGAACATTTCAGTATGGATACTAACTTCCGGGTTTCATGCAGTATGGATCGGATGCGTGCTTTCAGGAATTGAGTTGTATTTTACCACCCACAATGCTGTGCAAAATTAAACGTAAATCGTCACTTCACGTCCGCCTCTAAATCAAAACAAACGAGCATGGATTAATTGAATCAATTTTTAATCTAGAGTTAAAGTCCCTACTGAAATCACTACTTTTAATTAACAACAGAAAATATAACAAATGTATACATTATTATAAAACCTTTCCCCCTCTATTTAAATAATGATTTCACTATTTAAATGTCTTTATTGGTTTATTTTACTTTATATTCTGTATATTACCGTCTTTCATTTGTACTTTTCTTTATGAAGGCTACTGTATGTTATTTAGTTATTTAATCTGCCTTTTATTAGATTTACATTGTAATATTGTTTTTGTTTACCTGACTGTATATGCGCATTACTCTTCTTGAATAAAGCTAAACAAAAAAAAAACAGGTGGATGCGGCTGGTTCGGGAAACGTAAATGATGTCACTTCCATACTGAATGAATCAGAAGAAGTAGGCACAAATATCTGCTTACTGTGCGCTACTACTGAACAGTAGGTACTAACAGTATACAGCACAGTATTAATTTCAGCATCTATAGGCAGTGTGTGTGTGTGTGTGTGTGTGTGTGTGTGTGTGTGTGTGTGTGTGTGTGTGTGTGTGTGTGTGTGTGTGTGTATTAGGGGATCCTCATGATTTCAGGAATCATTCAACAAAGATCAATAAACTGAAACTACATTTGATGCCACTCTGTTAAGTTGTTTTCAGAATAACGTGACCCTCAGGTATTTGTGGACAAAGAGAAAGAAAGAGGCACCTACTTGAACTCTGAGGAGTGGTTGTCCAGCAGTCCCAGTTTGTTGAGTTCTTCGTTGATGACATCCATTATGTGCTGAGGGACAGTCCTGTCTTTGAGTCTTTCTCTGAACTTTTCCTCGATAGCTTCTTTGTCTTCTTTTTCCAAACCAAGCTCCTGAAAATGACACAGACAAACATACACTGTTTGAATGGCTCCATTTTTACAGACAGACATTGTTAGGACCAACACATGGTATGGATGTATGAAGGATATGATGGAGACGTCGAACTGTTGTCTGTGCTTTACTGACACACGTCCTTGGTTTGGATGTCTCACTGATATGTAAGTTAGAAGTTTAAAGCCTTGATGGGGTTTCATACCTTAAAGGTCACATATTCTTCTCCTCTTCAATCAGTTTAAATAAGTCTCAGAGCTCCTCTAAACATGTGTGTGAAGTTTCTTGTTCTAAATCCACTCTGATCCTGTATTTGATCATGTTCATAAACCCCTCTATTTCAGCCCTGCTCAGAACAGGCTGTTTCTGTGTCTGTACCTTTAAATATGTAAATGAGCTGTGTCTGACCACGCCCCCTCTCTGGAAGGGCTTGGGTGTACTCGGTCTTTCTCGCTCCATGTTCTATTGTTTAAGGTGAGAAGGCAGACTCAGAGGTTCAGAACAAACACCTAGCTGTGGGAGTGTCACCCACCTGGGGGAGGGGTTACTGCCCTTTGTGATGTCATGAAGGGAACATCTCCAAACGGCCCACATTTTCTGAAAAGTGGAGCAGGTAGAAGACGGAGAGGATGGACTTTTCTCTTTACCTTCTTTATGATCTTCAGCTGCTCCTGCAGCAGGTACTTCCTGTGAGTCTGTTTGATCTTCTCTTCCACCTGTGAGCACAGCAGGGAGCCGGATGAATAAAACAGGCAAAGCAGTGAATGGTTGATAGCTTTTATAGGTGTGGTGATGACCTCTGACCTCTCGACCCAGCCTCTGTTGCAGTTTGCTCAGCTCATACTCCTTCTTCAGCAGAGACAGAGCCTTGTAGAGACGCTTTGGGATCTGCAGAGACACAACAGAAAGTTTAAAGGACCCCTGCACACTCAGTGCAGCTTTAATACAGAGACATGAATACAGAAATATGTGTTTGATGTGCGTTAACAATTAACCAACAACTCCGTACTGCAGTCCTTTCTCTTTCAACCAACCTATGAAAACACACAGACACTAAATCTACATCTCCCGTTGGCTGGTGTGCTTCAAGAAAAAGATCCTTTTATATTTGTGGTTCATTGTTGTGGGAGTATATTAGGTTTAGCATACAGCATCTTCCCCAAGCTTTCATGTAGAAAATCATCAAACACTGTGTTCAACAGTCTGCCCCTCCATCCCCCCTCCTTTAAGCATGCAGAACACTCACATTGATTTCTTCCAAGACATCCTGAAGCTCATGTGACTCTGCTCCCGTCAGAGCTGCCCCCATGTCGCTGAGGTAGATGGATTATCAACAACTCTCTGACCAGCCTGCATCATCTGGAGGACTGACTCTCTGTCTCACACACACACACACACACGATGCAGGCTCAGTGTGAACATCAGGCTGTATAATGGAAATAGAAACAGTATGATGGTGTGTGTGGTCAGACAGACTGAGAACACACCTGTAGAGGGGGTTGAGTGCGATGATGTCTCTGATGGTTTTCACGATCTCTGCCGTTAGCGCCTGAAGAACACACAGATCCAGTTTTTTAAGATGGTACTGGTGTTTTTACTGAGAGCATTTGTTTAATGAAATCTGCCACACAAACAGATAGTCACATGGTGAGTCTGGGCTCCATAATGTGATGAAGGTTTGGTACCTTGACCTCCTCGGTGACGGTGAACTGCTCATGCTGAACGTTGTCCACTTCCACCATCAGGATGTTGGACGAGGGCAGAGGCTGAAGTTCTGGTGTCAGATCTACTTCTGAAATCTGAGACACAACAGATTCATAATCACTCCCACTGATGTGAATATCAACAAACCCCACAAATTCTTCTACTGCAATACTGCCTCCATAAACACTACTGTGTCTCTAACCCCGGTGCAGACACATGTCAGTGTGTTCCAAACTCTGTGCAGTAGGGCTGAAATAGTGCAGCACCTTTTGACACTTTAACTCTGAAGGTCACTTTATCCTGCTTCGTTTTAAAAAACACCACAGTCACTTTTTATGCTTCTACAAATGTCTCTCTGTCAACTAATGTAGAGTTTATGTTCCTGTTGGTCTTTACTTGTCATTTTGTGTTTTCATGTTATTTGTCATGTATAGCAGGAATGTTTCAATTCATTTAATTCTGTTTCCCCCTGCTGATCATTTGAGATAATTTAATTGTTGCTCTTTATTTTTCACTGTATTTTCTGATTGGTCATTCTAAGTCATGTGACTCAGTTATGAGACTCTAGTTAGGAGGGGCTTCATTTATTTTCCATGTGGTCGGCCTGCAGCACAAGCCAGCTTTTTCTTTCCTTCCTGCCTGTGTGCCTTGGAAAGCATCCCTTGTAAGTTAATTCGGAAGAACAGATCTTTATATTTATACATACAAACTATTTGATATATTTGATGCATTTTGTATAGTTTAAAGACAGATAATTTACAAACTAAAAATGCTAATGTTTAAGATAGCATCCTTTAATTTGTGCTTGTTTTATTTTGTATTTTTTAGTTTTACAAAGAAAGAAGCTTCATGAGTATGATGACAACAGTAAAGCATTTGAATTTACTTCAGCCTCTCATTTCTCGCGAAGTCTGTAAGCTCTCTGTCAATTTGTCTACAGACACACACATTGAGGACAGAATATTGTTGTTGTTTTATGTAAATTTGTTTACGTGTGAACCACCAACCTGCCAGGTTGTTTGTGGTAACTAGATTACATACAATTGTATTTAAATAATGACAAATGGCTAAAAAGTATTTTTTGTCTTGGGGTTCCTCTTTATAGAAATTTAAGTAACCTTGCAGGAAAATCACCGTGTTCCTACTCACCAACAACTAAACAAGGACCTGGGTAAGTGACAAACTGAAAATAAGAAAACAATTGACCAAACGAAGAAGAAGGGGGAGTTACTGTTGGATTATGCTCGTCCTGCTCCATTTTTCTCAGACTAGAGAGCTTCTGATTGACAGCTTGCACAGGGGGGCTCATGTCACTGACCTTCTCCTCCAGCGTCTCTGTCGGAGAGCCCGGTTGGTCCTTGCGGCTGCGTTTGGCTTTGCGTCTGGGTGAAGGTTTGGGCTCTGCTTCAGTCTCTGAAAACACAGGGGACGCTGCTTCCTCCTCAACCTCCACCTCAAGCTGTTTAGTGATCCGGATTCTGAGAGAGCAGAGCACACACACACACACAGCAGAGGTCTGAACAGCAGAGTATTGCCTTGGGTAACGGACCGTACGACTCCACCACTGAGCCACAGCCGCCTTGTGGTTGATTAGACTCTAAAGATATACAATCTGATGTTCAACCATGCATTAAATCCAAAACACTGGAGCAGCAGAGATGTTATACCTGCGGTGTCCCATGACGATCATCCTCAGCTTGTCTCCCAGGTCCTGCATCTCATGAATCTGAACAAAAGTCCCTGTAGAGTAGACGGCATCCAGAGACTCCACCACGTCAGACTCATTACTGCAAGAGACAGAATCACTGCTTATGACTGAGACAGAGAGGAACAAGGAGCTGCATGTCAGGTTCTAGGGACATTTTGCTGATTACTTTATACTCTCATTTGCTGTATTGACCACAGACTGTAAATATTAATGGACAAAGCCTGAGTGAGGTCTGTTCCTGCAGGGGGCGCTGGAGTCCCATCGATGGCGGTCTCCATGCTGGAAATGCTGTCTCAGTCGAACTTTCAGTCAACCTAACGACAGGCTGAGAGCTGGAGCTGAGGCAGGTTTTAAACCTCCTGACAAACTGTTACACCATGCCCACCTGTCAATCAGATCAGCTACACACCTTATTATGAATAACTCTTATCCTTCATCAAATCAAAACTGATGAGTCATCAAAACATTCACCCCCCCGTACAGTGTGTGTCCATCGAGACATGAGCTAATCACACCTATTTGTTTTTTTGAACCAGGCTGTAAACATGTTAATCTCCACTGTAAAAACAGACTTTTAGAATGGGTGTGTATGTGACTTAACATCCTGCAGCCAGCCTCTAGTGGACACTCCAGGTACTGCAGGATTTTACACTTCAGCGTTGGCTTCATTTTTCAAGACCGGGATTTCCACTTTGTTTTGACCCACTACCATGTTAGATCATCAGATTCAGACTCAAAACAGCTTTATTCAAATGGCTGAGATGGTAAATGGACTTGAGCTTATATAGCGCTTTTCTAGTCTTCCAACTACTTAAAGCGCTTTTACACCACATGTCACACCCACCCATTCACACCCTTTCACACACTGATGGTAGTGATCGCTATGTAGTATCATCCATCAGATGATGGATTCATACACCACCACTGAAGCAGCGGAGCAATTCAGGGTTAAGTGTCTTGCCCAAGGACACAACGGACATGTTGCTCAGCTGGGACCCTCAACCTTCTGCTATCGCTCCTATTAACGTGATGTTTTATGAGTCATGTGATCATGTGATGTTTAATATTATCAAATAAAGTTCAAATGCTTTGATGTGAATATTTACAGCATAACTCTAAGTCATGACTTTGTAGGAACACACGTAACAGTCACCTCATTGCTGGAATCAATCATATAATGTTACATGACATTACTTACTGTATGTCTTCTTAAACTGCCTTTTTTAAATTAAAAACTGACTTTATTATCCCACTGTTTAGCCATGTAAACAACGGATCTACACCTAAAGGGAAACACCCAGTGGAGATTCAGGAGCCTGTTGGGCGACCCTCAAACCAGCGTTCATCACCATCATGTCTGCCTCGTCCCAGCGCTCACTCTTCCTACTCTTTTTATCACTTGTGCTTTGTTATTTTCTATTAATATTGCATGCAACGTTCAGCAGGGTAACGAGAGTGAGTGATGTCAGACGGGGCCCCCTTAGGGAGGTTTTCTACTGTCTTGCAGAATTTGCACATTTTGAGCCGCTGCTGTGGTTTAAAGTTTGTCAGCCCTGTCTCACCTGTTGACAAGCAGCGCCTCTGAAACACAGCTTCTTTAGTTTATGATATTTATGATGAATTAAAAATTACCTTCCAAGATGAACACGTGAGAATATAAAGTAATGTATAAAAACAATGTATTATCACTCAACACAACTTCGACATACAAATCCTACACAATATGTTATTTCTGTTTTGTTCTGTTTGTGTCTGTGTGTTAACTTTCTGTGTATCTGTTGTAATACGTCTTCATTGTGAAATATAAAAATAAATATATGAATGTAATGACATTTGAGTTCAAAATAAGTCGAGCTTATTATACCATGCTAAGCTGCTCATAGTCTGAAAGCTAACTCAGGAGCTAACCATTGCGACTGAGCTAACTTTGATTATTTGTTGCAGTGTTTCCCCTAGGTTTACAGCGTTGGGGGGGTGGGGACAAGCTGACATGGCGACACAAACACTTCAAGTAATCTTGGTGTTCATGTGTTACTTTTAATGACAGATGTCCTTTTCTATCTGAAAGGTATGCTTAAATGACTTCTTTCCCTGATTTCCGACTATATCCACTATCCTATCCCTACAATAAAGGCACAAAAAGCCCAAAAACTAATCTTTTTACTTGACCTTAAGGTGGGGCGGGCCGCCCAATATAATGGTAGGGGAAACACTGTGTTGTCATGGTTACACAGCAGCTTGATGTCCAATCACGTTTGGTTCTGATCACAGTTCAAACTTTCTGCGACTGGTTTAGTTACAGAACAAACGATAGTTACCTCTGGTGCAGACTTTACACTAGTGCTGGGTGATTAATCACGTTTTTATTTCATTACGGTTTAGTCTTCACACGATCATCGAGATTAAACGACTACTGTGCTGCACGCCGTGCTGCATGCCGTTTTATCCACAGGTATCGTCATGTGTAGTGAATAAAGTATGTTTTTGAGGTGTTGAACTCTAAACAACAAACACTTTGAAACATTCACTACACATGACGATACCTGTGGATAAAACGGCATGCAGCACGGCGTGCAGCACAGTAGTCGTTTAATCTCGATGATCGTGTGAAGACTAAACCGTAATGAAATAAAAACGTGATTAATCACCCAGCACTAGTGTAAAGTCTGCACCAGAGGTAACTATCGTTTGTTCTGTAACTAAACCAGTCGCAGAAAGTTTGAACTGTGATCAGAACCAAACGTGATTGGACATCAAGCTGCTGTGTAACCATGACAACACAGTGTTTCCCCTACCATTATATTGGGCGGCCCGCCCCACCTTAAGGTCAAGTAAAAAGATTAGTTTTTGGGCTTTTTGTGCCTTTATTGTAGGGATAGGATAGTGGATATAGTCGGAAATCAGGGAAAGAAGTCATTTAAGCATACCTTTCAGATAGAAAAGGACATCTGTCATTAAAAGTAACACATGAACACCAAGATTACTTGAAGTGTTTGTGTCGCCATGTCAGCTTGTCCCCACCCCCCCAACGCTGTAAACCTAGGGGAAACACTGCAACAAATAATCAAAGTTAGCTCAGTCGCAATGGTTAGCTCCTGAGTTAGCTTTCAGACTATGAGCAGCTTAGCATGGTATAATAAGCTCGACTTATTTTGAACTCAAATGTCATTACATTCATATATTTATTTTTATATTTCACAATGAAGACGTATTACAACAGATACACAGAAAGTTAACACACAGACACAAACAGAACAAAACAGAAATAACATATTGTGTAGGATTTGTATGTCGAAGTTGTGTTGAGTGATAATACATTGTTTTTATACATTACTTTATATTCTCACGTGTTCATCTTGGAAGGTAATTTTTAATTCATCATAAATATCATAAACTAAAGAAGCTGTGTTTCAGAGGCGCTGCTTGTCAACAGGTGAGACAGGGCTGACAAACTTTAAACCACAGCAGCGGCTCAAAATGTGCAAATTCTGCAAGACAGTAGAAAACCTCCCTAAGGGGGCCCCGTCTGACATCACTCACTCTCGTTACCCTGCTGAACGTTGCATGCAATATTAATAGAAAATAACAAAGCACAAGTGATAAAAAGAGTAGGAAGAGTGAGCGCTGGGACGAGGCAGACATGATGGTGATGAACGCTGGTTTGAGGGTCGCCCAACAGGCTCCTGAATCTCCACTGGGTGTTTCCCTTTAGGTGTAGATCCGTTGTTTACATGGCTAAACAGTGGGATAATAAAGTCAGTTTTTAATTTAAAAAAGGCAGTTTAAGAAGACATACAGTAAGTAATGTCATGTAACATTATATGATTGATTCCAGCAATGAGGTGACTGTTACGTGTGTTCCTACAAAGTCATGACTTAGAGTTATGCTGTAAATATTCACATCAAAGCATTTGAACTTTATTTGATAATATTAAACATCACATGATCACATGACTCATAAAACATCACGTTAATAGGAGCGA